ACGCCCCACACTGGGGATCGAGCCCACAACCCAGGCATGTGCCCTGACTGGGAATTGAACTGTGACCTCCTGGTTCCTGGGTCAATGCTCAACCACTGAGCCACGCCAGCCGGGCTTCAGTTGCTGGTTGATCAGTGTTTAACAACTAGCTCTATGGGGGGTGGGAGAAGCCCTGGTTAGTAATGTTTGCCCGCTTCTGTGGTGTCATAGTCCTACTGTGGCTGGTTTCAAGCTGCCAACCTGACATCACTGAACATGGCGTTAGGAAGAGGTGGCCACCGTCCATTCTTGTGGCTGGAACCAGCCAGTCCTAGCACACTGCGTGCCTTCACAGATGAATGAAACTGTAGCATTTCATCTACGTGTTGGGCACGAGCCTACTTCTGCTGCCTAAAAAGACGTACTTAAGGCCTATAGCCTTGGAGGGAAAATTAGCTTTTCATTTGTTTATTGAAACACTGTATTCCCCTGTTCATAGGTGATGCGGACTCTTCTTGTTGTTCAGAGAGTATGCTAGTCTTTTCTGTATTTGCCCTTTCCCATGGACCAGATGGAGAGCTAGTTGTTCCTGTCGGCTTACCCTCTCCTTCCCGAGCAAGCAGAATTCCTATCGGGTACTCGTTCGCGGTGACACCCGTTATACCCTGTGTCATATCCGTGTTTGAGACTGGATACATAAATAGTATGTATGACATGCAGCCCTACTTTGATGTCATTAGGGAGACATCTTGGTTGATACTACAAAACCTTCCTCAGCTCCTTTGCTGTCTTGCTCCTTTCCTATCTGACCACAGGAATGGGGGGGATCGGTTTCCCTATATCTGTAAATAAAGACTTGCCCCTTCCATCTCTACTGTGTAGACAAATTAGCAAGTATTTTACATCAAGAATGTCAATGAAGGGTTTCTTATTTCCTTGGAAGTTTATAAAAAAATGTTGTGAAAGATGAGCTTGTAAATACTCTGTTATTCTATTTTATAGCCTCAACTCGAATACATAATGTCACGATGTATGCATCTTAACATCTGATACTGTGTCTGGGCTGATTTTATTATAAAATAGAGTCTGGAATTTTATATTTGGTAAATGTATTAAAGACAACCAGATACCAGCATCAGAAGTTTGACAACAGAAATATTGATAAGATAGAAGATATTTATTAAAAACAAACTCAAGACCCTTGTTTTCTTAAACATATTGACTTGGTGTCTCATACCTTAGTAGGTATGTTTGACATATTTCTCTTTTTATGTTGACGATGAACTTGCATTCTAGTCCAGAAAATGTAAGCAACTCCTACTGTAATAAATGCTGGCTCACTACTCTTGTGGGTTTAAGCCCACTAAAATATGAATTCCCTGACTTATCCTATATGAAGGTGTATGGCTTTTGAAATGTTGCAAGCTATTTTAAAAACTATAGGAATGCAATGTATATCAAATACAATATATTAATATTTTAAGAGAGTTACGATAGATGATGACACAAGTCAGTGAAAGATTTGAATATAGCATAAAGAGGAATTGCTGTCAGGTGTCTAAGGAATAATTAAATTGAGATGGAGGAAAGTGTTGCTAATGAATCAAAGGGACATTTAAGTGGGATTCCGTTTCTCTGTTTTTTACTGAAATAGCTGACAGACAAAAAGCATCAATCAGTGAAAGTCTATTTGGGGGAGGAGACACCACTGTGTCGTGTGTGTCTACACTGGGTCAATCACTTAACAAGGACTAAACTGGTGACTTAGTCTTCCGAGGGTGTTTAAGATAATGCTAGCTGATCATGTGACATTTTCTATGTCAATAGATGGTGAGTTAAGAAATCATTTGAAATGTTCCAGGATAATTATCTAAATAGTAAGAATGAACACATTAAATGGTCTGGCCAATGCCTTTATAATGTGCCCATACATATGTTCAGATTTTATTGAGTTAGTTCAGGTTTGTGGATTTCACAGCAAGCTCTCAAAAAAGGAACTCAGGCTGTGCTGGACAAACCGCTGCCTTAATTACACAAAAATTCCTCTGAATTACCTCACTTTTAGCTACTTATAATTCAAAGGCAGATCCAGACTCTTCGCTGACCCAGTTTGCATATTTCAGCATTCTTCTAGATAAATGGTTCAGTCTCAACTACTAATGACAGTAGAAAATGTCACATCATCAGCTAGTATTATATTGAATTATTCTACAATTTTCAAGTATTTTTTTTATTGTGCTCTTATTAACTTTAGATCAGATTACCTTTATGTACAGGATTTAGCTATTGTACAGTTTTCAATTAACCCGTGTTAATTTTGTACCTGTATTTTTTTAGGGATAATATTTTTAAATATTAGACTTCTCTAAAGCTGAATGGTTAATTAAGATCACCTTTGCATCTTACTCATAAAGAAAAGGTATAATTGATATTTTTAAGAGTAAACTTTTTTGGTGTCTAAAAAATGATTTGGGGAATTTCTAACTTTTGAAATGTAGACTGCTATTTTTCTGCAAGTGCTTGTGAAAGTCACATTGTAATTTTTTGAAAAGGCCAATCTGTCATTTCTTTTCTAAAGCTATTTTCTACTGAATTTATTCATAAAATATTCGTTCTGTAATTTAGTGGTAGCTGTAGTGCTGTATTTATTGCTTAATGCTTTTTTAAAATGAGAACTTATTTTAATTTTCTCTTGGTTTTAGTCTGCTAATAGAAACCATCATTTCTTTTATCTGTAAAACATACCCAAGATATTTGATCAATTAAAACAACTCATGTTATGCCTACTTAATGTATATCTCTCTATTTTGATTGTATGAAAATATTAAAGTTATGAGTTAAAGATCATTTTCACTCATGTTTACTGTGGTACTGAACAATATAATTTATAAACATAACTAGAGGCCCGGTGCACGAAATTCGTGCACGGGTGGTGGTGGTGGAGGGGTTGTCCCTCAGCCCGGCCTGCACCCTCTCCAATCTGGGACCCCTCGGGGGGATGTCTGAGTCCTAAACTGGCAGTCGGACATCCCTCTCACAATCTGGGACCACTGGCTCCTAACCGCTTGCCTGCCTACCAGCCCAATCCCCATAACTGCTCTCCCCTGCTTAACTGCTCTCCCCTGCCGGCCTGATCGCCCTAACTGCCTTCCCTGCCGGCCTGATCCCCCTAACTGCTCTCTCCTGCCGGCCTGATTGCCCTAAACCACCTCTGCCTTGGCCCCATCACCATGGCTTTGTCTGGAAGGATGTCTGGTCTAATTAGCATATTACCCTTTTATTAGTATAGATTCTTAGCAATCAGTGAAATACTTCTTAGAATCCCTCACCATAACTCTATTACCCTCTTTGAAGTCTTCAATAAACCCATAAATCACTACACAAATTCTATATTTAAAAGTTATGAATTTGATTTTTTTGATAAGAAAATTCCAAATAAACTACAATGTATGCAAATTTCTTCCTAGATGAAAGAAAGAAAGAAAGAAAGAAAGAAAGAAAGAAAGAAAGAAAGAAAGAAAGAGAAAGAAAGGAAAGAAAGAAAGAAAGAAAGAAAGAAAGAAAGAAAGAAAGAGAGAAAGAAAGAGAGAAAGAAAGAAAAGGATGCCCATAAAGAGGAAAATGAGCAAGGATCTGTCTCCTTTCTTCATTAAATTACACTAGAGGCCCAGTGCATGAAATTCGCGCAGGGTATAGTCCCTAGGTCTGGCCAGTGATCAGGGCTGATCAGGGTCCCCGCCTCCCTGCCTCCCACCTCCTCCTTCGCTCACCACCTGCGCACCACCACCACACAGTTCCCCCCACCACCCCCTTCCCCACCTCCTCCTTCTCTTGTTCCCTCAGTGCCCCACTGCCGCTGCTGGTCACCCACCCTGTTCCGTGTCACCCCCTGGTGGTCAGTGTGCATCATAGCGAGCGATCGAACTTCCGGTCTCACGGTTGAACTCCCAAGGGGACACTTTGCATATTAGCCTTTTATATAGAGAGATTGTGTAATTTCGTAGTGAAAAGCAGAAAGAAAAAATAAGGAAAAGAATACTTTTAAAATACTTTTTTAAAGAGGGCATATACGTGACTCACACAAATATAAAAGGAAAACACATTAAATATTTTGCTCCACTCACCCTCCATGAAGGAACCAGTAATAGGTTACTACCATCAGAGGAGAATGAGAAACACCACACAGGCACCGGCAGATAAGAACTTCTGGAATGACTGGCAGCGGAAGGGAAAGAGCTCTACCCAGGAGCGAGAGCCATTGCATGTCCCTGGGCGGAAGGGACCTGCCTGTCCGTGGGAGGAATTGTCTGTGTGACGTGACCCGTTCTGTCGCTCACATGGCGGTAGAATTTCCCCAAAACAGCGCAAAACAAAGGTAGCCTGGGAGGCTGCACCAGAAGTGACACTTTCCATCTTTTCCATTTTTTAACCATTTTAAAGTCTTTCACAATTTTACTCATGAAATATAAGTGGAGAGAAAGAAAAAACAGGGTGGGGGGAGGTAAAACCCAAACGTAGAGGGAAAGGGAGGAAGTTTGTTAAGACGGCTGTTTTTAAAACTCTGAATATCATTTCTTTCTCAGACATTTGCATTACGGTAGCAGACACGCAACAGGCAAGGCAGCTCTATTTCTCCTATTCTCCCTGCTTTACCCAGGGACTTCCCTGTAGTTATTTTTTTTTAAATATATTTTATTGATTTTTTACAGAGAGGAAGGGAGAGAGATAGAGAGTTAGAAACATCGATGAGAGAGAAACATCGATCAGCCGCCGCCTGCACATCTCCTACTGGGGATGTGCCCGCAACCCAGGTACATGCCCTTGACCGGAATCGAACCTGGGACCCTTCAGTCCGCAGGCCGACGCTCTAGCCACTGAGCCAAACCGGTTTCGGCTGTAGTTATTTTTTTAAAT